GAAAGAAATAACAAATTTAAACATTCATTCTGGGTTTATTAAAATCTTTGGGTAAAGAACAAATATTCCCAAGCCGCCAGTAATGCTTTGATTCTGTAATTATTTCTAAATCTGAACTAGCATTTCCCATTAATTTCAGAAGTATATTTTTCTCTTTCTCAACACTTTCACTTCTGCTGAATTTTCATCCTAAAATGATGCTTCAGTTAATCATTTATTTCTCTAACCAGTAATAATCCTGCCTGCTTCCCCATTCATACCAGCGTGGTTACAAGCGATGAAGGCCACACGGAGCCTCCTCCAGGCTGCATTCCCCACAGTCTGTATGCTCTCATTTTTCATGCATTTCCAGATCCAAAACCTTCTGTTTTCTTTCCCTTGTTTGCTTTTGGCAGATATTGGCAGGAGACATCCTCTTAATGATCTTTTTCTGGCCTTGTAGACGACTGCTCAGACTTCTACAGATCTTTCATTATTAACGCAGAAGCCTTGTAAGTCAGTTTTAATAGCCTGCGCAATTTTTATTCCTTAGCAGGAGACATAACCTCCTCCATATGGATATATGTTTATTAATATAAACCCTTAATATCATTTTTTCCTAGTGAGAATAATCAGTAAACTCAACTGGCGCATATTACACCTTGTACTGGTTCATCCAAAAAGAAATCTTTGCCCTGCAATAGGTGGAGCATGGCAGGGAGAAGCAAATCATCCTTTTCCCCGAGGTTGCCTAGGCACCGAACGCCAGCCAGGTTTCCTTGCACGGTCCCGCCGTTCCCCCCAGACAGAGGGCCGCATCCCGACCACAGCCGCTTTCATTTCTCTAGCGTGGGATTCATTACCTGGCTTCAGCCCCTTCCTATTATTCCTGGAATATCTCCAATCTCCGTTTCTATTCTGATGGGGGATAAAAGAAGGATGGGTCGTTTGTGTTAGCGACGTGTAATGAATGCCGACAAACCCGGTTTTTGTCTGCGACTGGACAAATTGCTCGTAGTGCTCAGGCTCAGCCTTCATTACCCGCACATCCTCACATGGTTTAAATGGGGAAACTTGGAAAACGGGACAGAACTCTCTCATTTATTTATAAAAGAGAGTGTCCTGGATTCTTTCCTATAACCAAGGGGCAATTGTCCATTTATTCCATTAAACATTTTCCTGCTGTACAAAATTACTCCCATTTTTCTTTTAAATACAACCTTTGAGTCTCCAGATGAAGTTAAATAATAAGATAACACCACAAAAGAAATGCAAGCTATTCCCAGTGCTATTGAATGAGATTTCCATCCTTCCAGTGCAGCAAGTATTGTTTTCTCCTCTCTCCTTTTTACAACTCCTCCATGTGTATTAGGAGACTGTTTAGTAAACAGCAGGGAAGTTGGTGTTACCCCTTTACTCAGGATTTCCACCTTGACTCATTTGCCATGTTTCATCTATGTTTGTCAGTAAACAAGATAAGAGATGCTCCTGTGCATCAGATGACAAAAAAGTGCCTGAAAATTTGTGTCACTGCTGGATTCCCAAAGCTGTTCTTCATTTTTCCTTTTCTTTTTTTAAACAAGGTAGCCCATAAAAAAGTTTAATCATGGCAACATAGCCCATTTCGCCTATCTTTATGGTTAAACTGTGTTTAGTGGCAACCCACCTAACACAATGGGCAAAAATTTATGTTGAGAGATGGTAAATTTTGCAGTACAGATCAGACTGACAAGGCCACAAATTAATCTCCAGTGTCATAAGAACTTCACTGCACTCATGTATAGATCATCTGTCAACAAAGCGAGCGCGACGAGTGTCAGGCACAGCAAAAGCATTAGATGCACACTTAGCCTCCAGATTCTTCCCCCTGACGTACCTGGGGCCTTCAGTTACTCCAGGCCACACTGGCTGGATCACAGTATGAAAAGAAACAAATTCCCCCGACCATGCACAGCTAGAGCTCCAACTCAATCTTAAATTCTAGTTATTGAATGAAAACTAACAACCAAGACTTAGCTTAAGCAGAGCAAAACCAGTTTGGATTGATGAAAGGGACTGGAAGGGATAGCTGGAGCTTCACACAAAGCCTGGAGCACTGCCCCGTAGGTGACATTACTAGAAGGACAGGGGTTGAGCAATTGAGTATCTTTCAAGACAGCACTGCTGAATCAAGAAACTGTTTCCAATTGCTTTTCAGTTTCCAAGCTTGGTTAAGAATTGCAAATTTTACCAAAACGAGGAAGAATCTGCTCTCTTATGAGAATTAAAGTCAGTTTTGCTAGAACAAAATCCAACATAAAATAAAATACTACCCAACACAGCATGAAATAGTAAAGAAGTGCATGAAATAGAGCATGTCTGTTCTTTTGCATACTGTTAGAGCTCAAGGTTGACATCAAACACTGTGGTGAGAATGACTTGATTTTGATCTATTGTCTCATATGAGCCAGACTGCAATTCACCCTGCTACACTTATAACAGATAAGATTAAAAACAATCAGTTATATTAGGCAAAAATATATTTCCCAAGGCAAACATTCACTTCAATGTATTTTTCTCTGGCTATAACACACAAATTCTATGTATATAAAAACCTTCTGGGTTTTTATGGACATTAGCATTGAGCTGCAAAACAGGGAAAGCCTGGGAGGGAAACTGCATAAATTAGATGCAGGCACTGTAGTGATTGTATTTCCCCCGGCACAATTCCCTGCCTACTGTGTAAACTTCAGCTGAATAATCTCTCCATAGGCCTCAGGTATGTCATTCAAAATAATCATAGCAACAGTTGCTGGTGCTCTCTCCGTCCTGGAAGACAGGTGAACCATCAGCAGAATTGCATTTTGCCTTTTACTTTCAGCATTCAACTGAAGGTTAAATAAAAACACTTGCAGTTTCTCTGATGAAAAGCACAATGCAAGCAAAGCCACGTAAAAGCTGAGACAGGCTAGACTACATCGAGCCCATAGTGAATTTTCCAAGGAAATATTTCTGGGCACGTAAAACACGCTGATTTACCATAACAGAAACATCTCCTGGAGATGAACCGATTCCGCACACTTTTCAAATAAGGAAATCCCCATGGAAACCTGACTGACTTCCCAGCAGCTCGGGAGCACCGAGATCCACGCTCCGTGTGTTGGTGGAGCGCTGTGAAGTGACTCTGACCTGCTGGCTGGAGACACACAAGTCACGGGGGCCTGTGGGAGAAGATGAGGGTCTCAGCAGCAGCCAGGCTCTTGAGGCTCAGCCTGGAGCTCCCCAGTTTGGAAGCTCTCAACTCCCTTGGTTTCTGCTTCCTTGAAACCCCAGGTTAGTTACTTTACTCAGCACTTCCAGAAACTATTTTGCTTTTGAAAGACCATTTCAACACTATCTCTGCAAGAAGTTTTTGGTGCTTTCATGGCCAGCAGAAATATCAGAACTCTATCCTCGCATGGTTTGTTATAAGGTAAATGTGACTTTAGAAATTCCAATGTAAAGAAAACATCCCCATCTTAGGTTGTGTCTAATACCTAGGGAATTTTATCCGTGGTGTAGAAGAGAACAAAATACTGAGAATTAGGGGCTGATGTTCAGTCCTTGTAGACCCTTAGGCAAATTCCATAATCTCTGCTATAGCACTGAGGATCAACACACAATTGCTGAAACCTGACTGCTCCATGAGGTTGGTCCATCTACTGACAGTGGCTGCTGGCCAAAACTATATTCAACAAAGGAAAACCAGTAAAACCAGGTAAAGACAAGAATAAATTGTGTTTATAGGAAGACTCTTCATGACCCAAACCTTCTAAAGTCTGATTAAACCCTATGATATTTCTTACACATTTCTCCCCCACATCCTGAGTAGATGGAAGGGGATTTTGTGGACCATTTCCTTCTCTCCGCCTGTGCACTGCGCTGTGAACCACTTGTCCTGATTCCTGCCGCAATCTGGAAGTTTATTAATATGCATGTGCTATTTCACGGAAGTTGAATGATTTGAAAGTGCTGCATAAGGTTTGCTGTCTGTTTTCTCAACATCTGTCCCCAAAGTGCACTTCTGTCATGTTCTGCTCCCATCGTTCTCAGATCAAAAAGTTAAAAGTGAGGCAGGAATCTGTTTTGAGGTTTGCTATCCCGGGCTGCAACTCCTTCTTTCCCAAGCGTCTCGCATTCTCACAGCATATGACACTTTCCAATTACCTTTTGGCCCTTTTATTCCCCCAGTCTGGTTCACATTTCTCTCTGAATTTGGTCTCTATGCAGCTCTGAACCCACAGTCTGACAGCTAAGGACATAACAACTATGCAGCACTAACCCTTGGGGTGGTTGGAAATGCCTGAATTCTCCTATTACAGGCAGATTCCTGAGTAAAGGTCACCAGAAAGTCTCAAAACTTAAAACAAAAATGGGCCGTGCATGCAACAAGCAGTCAAGAGCTTGAGAGAGCAGGACGGGCTGTCTTACAGAAAAACCAAGGACGACTTGCAGAGTTTGGATCCAAATCCTGGCTCTGCCAAAGCCTTCCTACGCAAGCTGAGGCACGTCTCATTTTCTCACCTCTCAGCTCCCCTCTGTACAAAGCAACAAAATAGTTCCTCACCACATATGACCTGTGCAAGATGTATCCCATATACTTTGGAAAGACTATAAGAAAGTTGATAAAAAGAGAAGAAACTTCACCAAAGAAAAAGAAAACCCTCATGCAAACTGTCTAGCAAAATGGATTGCAGCAGTTACTTTGGCTGACTTACAGAGGCATAATTTAAGAGGCAGAATTATGACTAGAAGCAAAGAGAATTAAAACAAAAAATAATCATGCAAACATTTATAGTTCATATTTTTAAATCAATTCCCATGTTCCAAAAAGTGTTATCCACACAGATAATTCATGACTATTTATAGTTTTCCCCAGTTGGAGAGGAAATGCTTAAGTTCTCTCAGGAAAACACTGAATGCAACCAAAGAAATTACACCTGACGTTGATTTGGCCCTATTTGTAGAGTGTTTAGCATATTGCACTTTAAAAATTCTCTTACCTTAAGACAAACTGGTCTGCTAGAGAGTCATCAGCCAGGGAAACATGAAAGGTCACAACATCACCTTCTCTGACCGGGTTGAGCGGTAAGCGAATAACGATATTTTCATCTAGTCTCAGTGAAGATTGTTTTAATTTGTCTTGATTTGGGTAAATAACGATGCTACCAATCCTCTCCATAGCTGACAACGCATTGTGTTCATTATCTTGACCTGCATGGATATTGTTTTCCCACTTTGCATCCTCTGGAGAACATTCCCCATCTGCTGTATAAATCTTATAGAAGAGCTCCACAGTAATCCCTTCAAGGGAGGCTGTTTCCTCTGAAACCAGGGGCGGAGGGGAGCTGAACCAGCTAGGAGATAATTCCAGCTCTGCAACACATAATCCTAGATGACCTGTCAATCTACAGCTGGCCACAACTTCTCTAGACTCAAGGAAAGCAAACATCTTCACGCAAGGCAACCTCTCCGCAGAGTTATAGTCATCCCAGTCCTTCCCCGCAATATAGAACAAGGTTTGTATTTTAGGTTTGTTGGAATAGATTGAGCTGTTGATTATGTGAGATTTTAATTTCCAATTAAAAGTGAATTTATTTGTGAAACCAAAAGATGCAGAAGTCAGCATGAGGTCCAAGGGAACAGCCTGTTCAACAGAAAAGGGTCCATATGTGGCATTTAGGACAGGTGGCAGTTTGGCTTTGTATATAAAGAATGAATCCACCCTAGACTGCAAACTGGAGTTCCTCATGATATCCTGGTTGGCTTCTTTGAGAAAGAAGAAAACATCAGCATTGCAGATGTGATAGCTCGCAGGGAGATACGTTGGTAGGTTTGAAAATCTCTGTATGCTGTCCATGATCCCTCCTCGGCTCTCCACCACTGCAGGCCAAAGATAAAAGGAAACAGAAAGACAACTCTAATGTTTGCTTAGCATGCCCCTCGGTTTTTTTCTCAAAAGCAATGTATTACCAGAGATCAATACTGTTAGCCACAATTACAAAACAATCTGACACAGGTACCACGGAATAACACTGTTGGCCCAAAGCTCATACACTGAAAACATCCCCATTGCATCAGCTGTACAGCTCCCTCTCCACCTTCCCCAATCCAATATCTCTTTGAAAGCCATTTATCAAGTGCTGGATAAAACAATGAGATTGGTTGGCCAAATATTGATCTAAGTTCCAAAACTTTTTACTAGTTGTTTTTTGTTCTTTTATTGCCAGATCAAACTTATGGCTTTTTCTCATCCATGTTTCAATATGAGTAAGAAAATGGCATATTGGATATTAGCAGCCAGTAAAACAGAACATTTTCTTTAGAGTAACATTGCTAACTCACAATGCAGTGGGAGGTCACAAATTTGCACCACTCCCAATCCACATTTGTCAAGTCAGTAATCTGGAAGTTAACGGCAAACTGATAAAAGCTTTGTGTACTTGAAACCAAAACTTTTCACACAGAAAAATATGGGATTTGATAGAGGTCTCAGTGGGATGGAATTATAGGCAAGAATGAACTTGAGAGAAGGAGAGAAATCCTTTACGTGCAGGTTCGCAGATGCTCAGAAGGATTTTTTTGTTTAATTCCAGAGGAGAATGAAACACATTTTGGAAACCACAAAAGTTTCTCTTACAACACAATGGTCAATCCTCCAGTCAGCACTGAGTAATTTTTCCCAGGCAAGAAAAGATTCCAGAGGGAGGGAGGGATCAAACAGACATCTTTGGTTTGGGCCGATCTCTAATTAATAGTGAGATATATTCAATGAGGGCTGCGATTCTACCAGAAAGAAACGGTGGGTCTTTCAAACTAACAATTCATACGCTCCGACAAAAAGCCGTTGAACGCAAGCTCCTGGGACTGCCCCAGGAGAAATAAACAGCAACCAAATGAATTAAAACGAAGCAGTTCCATAATGTGCAGAGATAACAAAGGAACAATGACAGATCCTAAGGTCAAAGCTCTTGTTGTCTCTCGCTGAAGCTTAGAGGCGATTTTACTGTTTGTCAGGACTGGGGAGAGCAGATACACAAGGCGACGACCGCGCAAACAATTACACCTGTTACAAGCCAGATGACTCAAATCCTTACAGCCACAATTTAGCACAGATAAAAGCTCCAATATTTAAGCTATTTTTTCAGGTTGTGTATTTTTAAAGCCTATACTTATCGAAGGCAGATTCTAGGGCAAATCTCATCCATTTGACTTTGCTCCACTCTTGTCCTCAGTTGAAATTCTGCTCATTTATTTTTGATGGCTCGATACTATCTCTGCTTGTTTAAATGCTTCTCATTTCATCGCAATAATTCTGCCTTTACTTTTGCTGTATATTTAATAGTGTCAAGGTTTTTCTGCGGCCATTGGAATATTCTTTGTGGGAACGAGTAAATATGCA